TGTGGGGCCTGAACTCTGGGCCTGGGCGCTGTCCCTCAGCTCTTCAGCTCAAGGCTAGCACTCTACCACTTGAGCCACAGCGCCACTTCTGGCCTGTTTTTTTTTTTTTTTTGCTTATGTGGTGCTGAGGTATCGAACCCAGGGCCTCAGGCATGCAAGACAAGCGCTCTACCACTGAGCCACCTTCCCAGCCCCTGGTCCTGAGGTTTTAAGAACCTATTTTGACACAACTTATTTTGGCACAATCCTATCATCCCAATTCTTAGGAGGCTGAAAAAGGAGGATCTCAAGTTTGAAGTTAGCCTGGAGTTTACACAGTCAGATCTTTAAAAAAAAGCTGGAAACGGAGCTGTGGCTTGGTAGAATACAAGCCTTGAGCAAAAGCAGGGACAGTGCCCAAGCCCTGAGTTCAAGCCCCAGGACTGGCACCAGAAAAAAAGAAAAAAACAAAATCAAGATGAATGGGTCACACCTGTAATCCTAGCTACTTGGGAGGTGGATATCAGGAGGCTAAGGGTTTGAGACCAACCTGGACAAAAAGTTACCAAAATTCTCTCGACTAATAAAAAAAAGTTAGGCATGGCGATGCATATGCCACCATCCCAGCTCCATAGAAAGCTTAAGTAGGAGGATTGTGGCCCAGTCCAGTCCTGTCCTAGAAGTAACTAAGGCAAAAGATCTGGGGTATTGCTTAAGAGGTATAGCATCTGCCTACTAAGTGGACAGTGCTGAGTTCAAACCCCCATGACACCAAAACCTGCGAACAAAGGGTGTGGCTCAAGAAGTAAGAGTATTTGCGTGGCAAGCTCAAAGCTGAGTTCAATCCCAGTACTGCAAAAATACCTAAAACTTTCAACTTAAAAAAAAAATGCTAGGCATCGGTGGCTCACCCTTGTAATTCTAGCTACTCAGGAGGCTGAGATCTGAGGATGGCGGTTCAAAGCCAGCCCAGGCAGGAAAGTCCATGAGACTCTTAGCTCCAATAAACCACTCAGAACACTGGAAATGGCACTGTGACTCAAGTGGTAGAGCACTAGCCTTGAGCTGAAGAGTTGAGGGACAGCACCCAGGCCGAGTTCATGCCCCATGACCGACCAAAAAAAAAAAAAAGCTGGGGACAGTGGTTCCCACTTATAATCCTAGCTACTTAGGAGGATAAAATCTGAAGATCTCAGTTCAAAGGAAGCCTAGACAGAAAAGTCTGCAAAGCTCTTATCTCCATATTCTAATCAGAAAAATGCTGGACTGGAGGCACACAGCTCAACTGGCAGAGCATAGGCCATGATGCAAGAAAACTAAGTGAGTCTGAGACCCTAAGTTCAAGCTCTGGTACTGGAACACACACACACAAAAACCAAACCAAAACAATAACAAGAAACAAAACCACTTTTGGAAATAGATCCTTCTGAGACTTTAAACACATGTGTACCTCCAAACCTGCATACTATTTTAAAGGGAAGGCAGACAGCTTTCAAACTATGGACTCAATTAAGAAGAATGTTCTACTTAAAGCCTTGAGCAGTCTCTAGCACTAAAACCAAAACAGAAATTAAAACAAAATAAGAGGGCTGGGAAGGTGGCTTAGTGGTAGAATGCTTGCCTAACATGCATGAAGCCCTGGGGTCAATTCCTCAGCACAATACAAACAGAAATAGCCATAAGTGGCGCTGTGGCTCACTCAAGCGGTAGAGTGCTAGCATTGAGCAAAAGAAGCTCAGGGACAGTACCTAGGCCCTGAGTTCAAGCCCTAGGACTGGCAAAAATAAATAAAATAGAATTCCACTCATTTCACAAGTAGAAGAACGGAGACTGCCAAGTAAAGTAACTCCCTTAAATTCACAGCCAAGACCCCAGAACTCTGGCTCCTGACTTCCAAGGATTTTCCCAAGCCTGATATACTGAGCTTGCTCTGTCCAGGGCCCCAGGCTGCACCCTCACCTCCCTCCCTGACCAGGCCCTGAATCCCTCTGACCTTGGTCTGCTTCTTCTCTGTGGCATAGACAATGGAGGTGCAGCACACCTCGGCGATTTTGCGGCCCTGCCCGTAGAAAGACCAGCAGCAGATCTCGTCCCCCAGGACATCTTTGAGGAACAGCAGCCGCCCGTGGAAGCGCAGGGCCAGTTTGTCAAACAGCTCGATGTTCTTAAGTAGGTTGTCATCTGAAGTGCTGAAGACCAGGGAGCCAGCAGGCCTCAGTGTGATGGATTTCCTACTACACTCCCCCCAAAGGGGCCCAGATTCCTGGCACTCTGGTCCTGCTCAGTAGAAAGCTTCCAGCTAAGCAAATCCAACCACAGCAGCTCTCCATGCAAGCTCTCAGCCAGGCTGTCTCATCTAGCATCCCAGCCATGGCACTTTATGTGTTAGTACTAGGGCTCCAACTCAGGGCATGAGCATCAAGCTCTTGCTTAAGCTGTGTGTGCGTGCATGCGCGTGCACACACACACACACATAGGGCTTAAACTCCAGGCCTTGGCACTGTTCCTGAGCTCTTTTGCTCAAGGCTAATACTCTACCACTTGAGCCACAGCTCCATTTCTAGCTTTTTTAGTTGTTAACTTGAAATAAGACTCTCATGACTTTCCTGCCCAAGCTGGCTTGAAACCACAATCCTCAGATCTCAGCCTCCTGAGTAGCTACGATTACAGATGTGAGCTACCAATGCCTGGCTTTTACTTAGCTTTTATGCTGAAGGCTGGTGGTCTACCACGTAAGCCACACCTTCACTTTCAGCCTTTTGCTGGTTAACTGAAGATAAAAGTCTTAGATTAGAGCTGGGAATGTGGTTTAGTGGTAAAGTGCTTGCCTAGCATACATAAAGCCCTGGCTTCGAGTCCTCAGTACCACATAAATGGAAAAAGCCAGAAGTGGTGCTGTGACTCAAGTGGTAAAGTGCTAGCATTAAGCAAAAGAAGCTCAGCGACAGTGCTCAGGCACTGAGTTCAAGCCCCCCAGGACTGGCAAAAAAAAAAAAAAGTCTTAGTGGGATTCTCAGACTTCAGCCTCCTGAGTAGCTGGGATTATAGGCATGAACCACTGATGCCTGCTATCTGCTACTTCTTAATAGAGTGACACTAAGCAAGTTACTTCCCTCTCCAAGATTCAATCTCTTCTATAGCTAGAGCCTAACACATACCTCATACTACTGTAAGAGTTGGGTAAATCAACAGAGACAGAGAGCAATACTATTGGAAAATAAGTGCCTAGTCCACGCCAGCCATTATCATTTAGTCCTTGCCTACATCCTGCTTGCTGATGACAAACTGAAGCAAAGGGGAGAATACTTGCTCAGGTACTTGGGGGGCAAGAGGTAGAGCTGGAATGTGTACTTGGGACCCTCCACGTGACCCTCCCCTTGGGGCAGCAGCAGGGCTATACTCAACCTTGGGATTTCTGGGGCACATGCACGTATATACCCCCTCCCCCCTCCCCCATGCCAGTTACCTGGTGTAGGAGTACTTGTTGTTACTACGGTTGTGCAGCAGCTTCACCACAGGCTGTTGGGGGAGAAGGAGAGGACCTAGTGAGGCTGGAAGAAGTCCTCAGCCTCCATCTCCATTCAGCCTCCACCCTCCAGGGCCAGGGGCCTCACCTTGGAGGTACTGGCCAGGAGCTGCTGCTCCTCCCGGGGAGATGTCACCGTGGGGATGAGGCACAGCGGGGATAGGTTCTCCCTCTTTTGCTGGGGAAGAAGTGGAAGACAGTTAACAGCACAACCAGAGGTCATTCACATCCCCCTTAAAAGTCTTCCAAAGCTGCCCACCACGCCCGGGGCTCTGCAAGAATCCACCTTTACTGAGGTCTTCAATCTCAGCCTTAACACTCTCCCCAGATGGCTGGCTTCAGACCCCACCTTCCTGTTCCTTCATACATGCAGCTTATTCTCACCCTGGCCCAAATTTCAAAATCTATTATTTGGTAAATTCATTCTTTCTTTCCTTCCTTTCTTTCTTTCTTCCTTCCTTTTTCTTTTTTTTTTGCCAGTCCTGGAGCTTGAACTCACAGTCTGGGCAATGTCCCTGAGTTTCTTTTGCTCAAGGCTAGTGCTCTACCACTTGAACCACAGTGCCATTTCTGGCCTTTTCTGTTTATGTGGTACTGAGGAATCGAACCCAGGGCTTCATGCATGCTAGGCAAGCTCTTTACCACTAAGCCACATTCCTAGCCCCCAATTTATAAAGTTAAGACCAAAGAGGAAACATTGACTCTACCAAATATTAAAATACACTACAAAGCCATAGAATGGCAACAGCATACTTCTGGTGCAGAAGCAAATAAAAACCCAAAAGAAAGCCAGGAGCCAGTGGCTCACACCTGGAATCTTAGCTACTCAAGAGGCTGAGATCTGAGGATCACAGTTCAATGACAGCAGGGGCAGGGAAGTCCATCAGACTCTTATCTCCAATTACCAGAAAAAAAAAAACAGAAGTGGCACTGTGGCTCAAAATGATAAATTGCTAGCCTTGAGTGAAAAAGCTCAGGGACAGTGCCCAGGCCCTTAGTTCAAGCCCCCTAACCAACAAAAACAAACAAAAATCACAACAGAGAGCACAGACACAGGGTGTGTGTGTGTGTGTGTATGTGTGTGTGTGTGTGCATGCATGCATATGAGAACTGCTATTTTACAAAAGACCACAAATGAGTGAAAGTGAAGTATGGAGTGGGTATTATCTATTGCTATATAATAAATGGCCTCAAGTTCGGTAGCTAAAATTAACAAAAATAGTTCCAATTTCAGTGTCATGGCTTAGGAATTCAGGAGAGGCCTAGCCAAGTCTGGCACAGGGTCTCATGTGGGGGTGCTGAGCAGGTGCTATAGGCATCTGAAGGTATAATTACCTCTAGAGGATCCATTTCTGGAAAGCTTACACATATGGCTGGTAAATTCCTACCTGCTCTTGGCACGAGGCATCTAATCCTGCCCTTTGGGCTTTTCTATAGGGTTGCTTTGAGTGTCCTTTTGATATGGCCAACTCCCTTCCCTACATAAACAACCCAAGAGAGAGCAAGATGGAAACCTCATTGTCTTTTATGACATAGTTTCATCTGTTCTTGTTTTTTTTTTTTTTTGTGGGTCATGGGACTTGTGGGCCATGGGCCTGGGCACTGTCCCTCAGCTCTTCAGCTCAAGGCTAGCGCTTGAGCCACAGCGCCACTTCTGGTTTTCCGAGTGGTTTATTGGAGATAAATCTCATGACCTTTCCTGCCCAGGCTGGCTTTGAACCTCGATCCTCAGATCTCAACCTCCTGAGTAGCTAGGATTACAGGCGTGAGCCACCATGCCTGGCTTCATGTGTTCTCTTTAATGTACAAGGAGATGACACAGGGAACGAATACTTGGGAGACAAAAATCTTGGAAGCTGCCTTGGAGATTAGCCCAACAGTCTACCCATTTTCTAGCCTCCATTAATTCATATGCAAAAACCATCTCCTCTCAAGATTCCCCAGCTTCATTCTCTTTATAGAAGCAGCTCCAAGTACAGAATGCTGTCCCTAAACCACAGCAGCTCCCCAACTACTGCTCCTGAAGGGCATTTGCCTTTAAGCAGAAGACCAGTGAGAAAAGACTCCACACATGCAATGTGCCATGGTGGGCAGGCAAGATAACCACTAGGGGTGCTCTTGTGCAAAGTGGGTGGGGGAGGGATAAGAGATCAATGAAGTTATTAGACCAAACATTGGGAACTCTGAAGCCTACTCCTGATCAGGAATGTTTCTGCACAGCATCTATACCTGTAAGAGATGGTCTCAGCAATAAGTTCCTCAAGCCACTCTTAGTCCAGACTAAGAGGTGTGGCTCAAGTGGTAGAGTGCCCGCTTAGCAACAGCACAAGGCCAAGTTCAAACTCAAGTACCACCATGGCCAAAAAAAATAGAGGAGGTGAGGGAAGGAGGGAAGGAGAGAGGGAGGAAGGGAGGGAGAAAGGGAGGGAGGGAGGGAGGAAGTCTGAGTGCCCAAAGTCTTCCTCTCCTTTTATTCTAGGCCCTGTCCCTTTAAGTCCAAGCTCATAGAGCTGGTAGTGCTTCTGCCAACAAAATCATCTATATTTATTATTTTCTAAGTCTTAGGAATTGCTTCGTAAGAGAAAAGCTACAACCGCAAATGTCTTCAAGATCAACATCTCTACTTTGGGCTTGTGCTCATGCTTTCTTCTTTGTCATTTTTTGTTGGTCATGGTGCTTGGACCCTGTCCCTGAGTTCTTTTTTGCTCAAGGCTAATACACTACTACTTTGACCACAGCGCCATTTCCAGTTTTCTGGTGGTCAACTGGAGATAAGAATCTCATGGACTTTCTTGCCTGGGCTGGCTTGAACCACAATTCTCAGATCTCAGCCTCCTGAGTAGCTAGGATTAGAGGTATGGGCCTCTGACATCTGGTGACTATACATTTCTTAGAGGTGCTCTTAGTTGAGAAAGAGTGGTGACATATACTGAGGATGTAAAAGGAGCTCAGAGTACTCCTTTAAGTTTGATGACCTTTCAACAGGGAGGCAGCAGGGAAGGATGAGACACCATGATATTGGGTTCAAAACCAACCTGAGTTACATAGCAAGATCCTGCCTCAAAAAATCATCCTGCCAAGCTGGTAGCTCATGCCTGTAACACTAGCTACTAAGGAGTCTGAGATCTGAGGATCCTGGTGTGAAGCCAGCCCAGGCAGAAAAGTCCATGAGTCTGTTATCTCCAATAAACTACTTAGCTAGCCTTGAGCAAAAGAAGCTCAGGCATAGCACCCAGGCCCTCAGTTCAAGCCCCAGACTTTTTCCCACCCCCAGCTCAGGCAGAAAAGTCCCTGAGACTCTTTGCTAGGCACTGTCCTTGAGCTCTTCAGCTCAAGGCTAGCGCCCTACCATTTGAGCCACAGCACCACTTCCGGCTTCTTCTGCTTATGTGGTACTGAGGAATTGAATCCTCATGCATGCAAGCCAAGCACTCTGCCACTGAGCCACCTGCCCAGCCCCATATGCACTTTTTAATCTTTGCTTTTAAGCCATCTGTTATCTGAAAAGGCTTGAGAATTTTCAAATCCAACCATTTCTGGCTTTTTGTTCAATTCTTTCTTCTTTAGCTTCCCTCTCCTCTTCAGGTAGCTTGAACTTCAACATTCCTGGAAATCTTCTTAGCTAGATCACCCAGTTTATCTGCCACATTTTTAACTTTCTCCATCACTGGAGGTAACAATGGTAATAGGCTTTCTGCTACTATATAAGGAGGATTCCTTTCCATCAGTTTCCAGTAACACTGTCCTATCATTTTTTCAGTCTTCCCTGCTACCTCCCTGTTGAAAGGTCAAACTTAAAGGAGTACTCTGAGCTCCTTTTACTAATATTCTCTTCAAAGTCCTTCCAGCTTCCCAGTTCTAAAATTATTTTCACATTTTAGTAGTTTGTTGGGGTTGTTGTTTTCCAGAAATCTCCTTACCCTAGAACTCACAATCTGTCATTTCTTGCTGAGTAAAAATCATTTCAAGTTTAGGAACTTAAAACAATAATAAACATATATTATTCCACACATTCATTTTCCTTCTTTTCTTTCTCTTCCTTCCTTCCTTTCTTTCCTTCTCTCTCTCTCTCTCTCCCTCTCTCCCTTTCTCTCTCTCTCTTTCTTTCTTTCTTCAGTTGTGGTACATGAACTCGGGGCCTGGGTGCTGTCCCTGAGCTCTTTTGCTCAAAGCTAGTGCTCTACCACTTTGAACCACACACAGCTCCACTTCTGGTTTTCTGGTGGTTAATTGGAGATTAAAAGTCTTAAGGACTTTTCTGCCTGGGGTGGCTTTGAAACTTGATTCTCAAGGTCTCAACTTCCTGAGTAGGATTATAGGCGTGAGCCACCAGTTCCTGGCTCCCACCCATTTTCTGAAAGTCAGGAATTTAAAAGGTCTTATCTAGGTGGCCCCAGCCCAAAATCTATCACAAAGTTTCAGTCTAGATGCTAGGCAGGGTTAATACCTGAAAACTGGACTGAGCCTAGAGGATCTACTTTTGTGATAATAACTAATAATGCTGGTTATTATTATTCAGGAGACTGAGATCTGAGGATCTCTGTTCAAAGCCAGACAGGGCAGGAAAGTCTGTGAGACTCTAATCTACAAGTAACTACCAGAAAACCAGAAGTGGTGCTGTTGCTCAAAATGGTGGAGCACTAGCCTTGAGTGAAAAAACTCAGGGACTAAGGACCCAGGTCCTGAGTTCCAGTCCCATGACAAAAAAAAAAAAAGTTGCTTACAAAATAGTACATATAATACTATGACTATTTGAGAAATAGACATGTTTGTGTGGATGCACATAAATACACTGAAAGACCTGGAAAAAAATGGTGCTTTACTTTTTTGGTTATCTGTGTTTCCTTAATTTCTACAACTGATAACTATTGCTTTAAAGTATTAAGTAATCACTGGGGATTTATATTCTATGCCAGACATGAGACAGAAGAAACAATTCTGGCAATATCTAAAACTGAATACAAATTGTTTTTTTTTGGGGGGGGGGTCTGGTCGTGGGGTCTGAACTCTGTCCCTCAGCTCTTCAGCTCAAGGCTAGCACTCTACCTCTTGAGCCATAGCACCACTTCCGGCTTTTTTTTCTGCTTATGTGGTGCTGAGGAATCGAACCCAGGGCCTCAAGTATGCAAGGCAAGTGCTCTACCACTGAGCCACCTTTCCAGCCCTACAAATTGTTATCTAGAGCAGATAACTAAGTTCTTCATCTGAATCTCAAAGCCCAGGAAATAATTTCAAATTATTAGGCTTTTTTTTCCAGACTGTTTTGCTTAGTATCCTAGGATAATTTCAAAGTTTTTTCTTTTTTTCCTGTCCTGGGGTGTGAATTCAAGACCTGGTTGCTGTCCTTTTTGCTCAAGGTTGGCACTTAAGCAACAGCTCCAGTTCTGACTTTTTTATAGTTAAGTAGAGATAAGAGTCTGATGGACTTCCTGGCCTTGCCTAGCCGGCTAAGCTTTAAGCCTTAATCTTCAGATCTCAGCCTTCTGAATAGCTAGGATCACAGGTGTGAACCATAGGTACTTTGCTCAAACTCTTGATCCTCCTGCCTTAGCCTCCCCAATGTTGCATTATAGATGTGTGCCACCACATCTAGCAAGTTAAGTAATTTCTAAACTCTCTCAGGCATGGTATGATAATAGAATCATACTAGTAGCTATAGAGAAAAGTTATTATGTAAAGCACATGCTTTGAAGTATATATTAATACATAGTCTTAAGTAATAGGGCTTAATTTTCCCTGGAGACTAAACTATGCAAGAATCTCCTGTCAAGCAACAAGAAAAAGGAAGCAGTACAAAATGTGGTAAAGAATATACAGAATTACCAGGTGCATGATGCACACCTGTAATCCTAACACTAAGCTAAGGCTGGAGGATCAGGAGTTCAAGGCCAGTTTGAGCTACATAATGAGACTGTATCCAAAAATATGTTTACACATGAGAAGATGTCCAGCCAGCAGCCATTGGCTCACATCTGTAATCTTAGCTACTCAGGAGGTTAAAATCTGAGGACTGAGGTTCAAAGCCAGCCTGAGCAGAAAAGTCCCCATGAAACCCTTATCTCCAGGGGCTGGGAAGGTGGCTCAGTGGTAGAGGGCTTGCTTTGCATGCATGAGGCCCTGGGTTCGATTCCTCAGCACTACATAAGCAGAAAAAAAAAGCCGGAAGTGGCACTGTGGCTCAAGTGGTACAGTGCTGGCCTTGAGCTGAAGAGCTGAGGGACAGCGCCCAGGCCCAGAGTTCAGGCCCCACGACCAGACCAACAAAACAAAAAAGGGCTGGGAAGGTGGCTCAGTGGTAGAGCGCTTGCCTTGCATGCTCGAGGCCCTGGGTTCAATTCCTCAGCACCACATAAGCAAAAAGAAAAAAGCCAGAAGTGGCGCTGTGGCTCAAGTGGTAGAGCACTAGCCTTGAGCTGAAGAGCTTAGGGACAGCGCTCAAGCCCAGAGTTCAGGCCCCATGACCGGACCCAAAAAAAACAAAAAAACAAAAAAAAGAAACCCTTATCTCCAATTAACCACTCAAAAACTGAAGTGGAGCTGTGGCTCAAAGTAGTAGAGTGCTAGCCTTGAGCAAAAGAGCTCAGCTCAATCTGATGGGTTCACAATGATGAACCCATCTGATTGCCAAAATTAGAAAAATATGTCATTGAGTGTATGTATACATGGGATCTTTTATGCACTGCTGATCATGGGTATGAAGTACTATAAACATTTGGGAGCACAATCTGATGCATATGTCCTGTATAACTTAGCAATTCTCTCAGTATAAGCATGTGAAACTCTGACATAGGACCACAAGGGGACATGTACTAGAATTCTCACAGTGGCACTGTTTGTGGGCGCAGAAAGTAAGAGGCAAACTAAGTCTTTAACTTCAGAGGAATGTATAAATAAAATCCTGTGAGCAAGCACTATAGATTCCTGCGCAGCAGTTAGAAGCAAAGAACTAGATGTACATACAGCAGCATGAAGAGATCTTGAAAGAAGTGCTGAATGATCAACAGAAAATGGCCCACAGCTCTGTGCCATTTGTGGAAATATAAAATGCATACACATACGACACAGTGCTTAAGTTTTTCAAAGGTATACACACAATGCAAGCATATCCAAGGTCCCCTAAGGAAAAGAGAAGTAGGCAAGGAATTGAGAATGAAAGGAAAATAATCAAAGACAAAGGGACACTTGCATAAACCTAGTTGTACTGTGAGGAGCACACTGAGCTGTAGAAAGAATCTGTGGGAAACCTGTGAAGGAGGTACGGAACACGAAAGAAAAGCACCAGACCTGGAGTCCAATAACTGGGGTTGAGTCTGAGCTCTGTCACTACTAGCTCATTTGACCTTCCTTGAATGCATCATCCAACTTCTCTCATGGTTTTTTTTTTTTTTTTATGTCAACCTAGGGTGTAAGATGTATATACAAGCAGATAGAAAAATCACTCCTGACACACAAGTATGTAGTAACATTAGCTTAACTTAAAATTAGAGCTGGGATGTACTTCCAAGATCTGGTTCAATGTATGTCAAACTCCAAGTGGTAACTCATTAGTGAGTCATGAAGTAAGTGTAGTGGAAGTCAAACAGTATTAAAGAGGAAGGAAGAAGGGGAGGTGGATTTCTGTTGTATCATAAAGGAAGATATTTTAACATTGTAAAAACTGAACAGATAGGCTGGGTGGCTCAGTGGTAGAGTGCTTGCCTTGCATGCATGAGGCCCTGGGTTTGATTCCTCAGCACCACATAAACAGAAAAGGCCTGAAAGTGGAGCTATGGCTCAAGTGGTAGAGTGCTAGCCTTGAGCTGAAGAGCTGAGGGACAGCACCCAGGCCCAGAGTTCAGGCTCCATGACCAACCAAAAAAAAAAAAAACTGAACAGAATAAAAGGGCTTATGTAAAAATCATTACATTGTACTAACTTTTGGCTTTTTCTCTCTTGGAACTTAAGAACAGAACCAGAGGGTAGGAAGAGACTGGCTCAAGGTTGTTCATTCCCACAATAGCAAGGTCACCTAGAATCCCTGAGGCTGACTCTTTACCAAGCCTTGCTCCTCAGAATTCTAAGGGACCTAAAGAAATGGAGCCAAACAGACAGGCCTCTGGTACCCCCCAACCCTACTTTACAGAGAGCATCTGCAAGGTTCCATTTGAGGTGAGAATTTCATTGCTTACAGAAGGAGGGGAGGGGAGAGGTCAGTTACTAGTGGTCCACACCTGTAATCCTAGCTACTCAAGAGGGTAAGACTTGAAGGATCATGGTTTGAAGCCAGCCCCGGCAGAAGAGTCCAAGAGACTCTACCTCCAAAATAACCAGCAAAAAGATGGCAAGAGTCAAGACTCAAGTTGAGCAAGTATGAGGCCTCAAGTTCAAATTGTAATAGGCAGGAAGAAAAAAAAAAATTCCCTAGGGGACAGAGAAACCCAAGAGACTGTTACTGCTGCCTCCCAGGGCAGAACCAGATCATGGAGGTTATTATATTCCAATTTAAACTTACATTTTTCCCCTAGTGGCATAGGAAGCTATTTAGGACTTCTAAGCAAAGAAGAGACTAGACAAGGGCTGTGTTTAAGGATAATTGCTCAGCTGTGTAACAGCTGGGTTGCCTGGGCAGGAACAGAAAGAAGCAGAGCAACTAATTAATCATCACAATAATCCTGACACCAGGTGGAAAGGGGACTCTGCCTGAGGCAGGAAGAATGCAGAAGCCAGTACCCCAAATTCTTGGGAGTTGTGCCAGTCAGAGCCAGGCTTTCTTAGCCAAATCCTGTACTTCTTTTTTTTTTTTTTTTTTTGGTCAGTCATGGGGCTTGCACTCTGGGCCTGGGCGCTGTTCCTCAGCTCTTCAGCTCAAGGCTAGCACTCTACCACTTGAGCCACAATGCTCAAGCTTTTTCTGCTTATGGGGTGCTGAGGAATTGAACCCGGGGCCTCATGCATGCAAGGCAAGCATTCTACCACTGAGCCACCTTCCCAGCTCCTGTACTTCCTTTTTCTTATCCTAATGCTCACTGCTGGGGAGCCCTCCAGCCCATGGGCACAAGGATACAGGAAGTGGGGGAGGACCCTCACCTGTAGTGCCAACTGGCAGTCCTCAATCAGGCCTTGGACCAGGTAGTAACGGGCTTCCCCTAGCAGCTCCCCCAGTTCTCTGGTACTCTCTGGCAGTGGCACAGACCCATCCCGCAGGTAGTTGAGGATTGTACCAAAGTGGCGGCCGCTCCGGTCAATCAGTACCCAACCTGGTGGGGTGGGGAGAGAAAGGAGAAAAGATGGCTCTGGGGTAGGAAAAGGCTAGAGTTAACTAAATTTCTATTTAAATAATCAAACAACAACAACAAAACACACCAAAAATAGAATTCCAAAGTCACAAGAAAACCTGGATACCGATGTATCTGCCATCTGGGTGCCAGTGGCTCTTACCTATAAATCCTAGCTATTCAGGAGTCTGATTTCAGAGGATAAAGGTTTGAGGCTAGCCTAAGCAGAAAAATTCTTGAGACAAATTCTGTTACCTTCTATTAACCAGAAAAAAGCCAGCTCTTTGAGCAAGCTTAAGGCCTTTGAGTTCAAGTCCTACTGTGGGTGGGGGCACGTGCATGCACGCGCACACACAAGCGCACGCGCGCACACACACGGGCACACATATACACACATACACACACACACAAACCTTCTGCATATCTATAAAATCTCTTTCAAATCTCTCCAGTGAGTTCTCCCAAAATTGTCCTGGGTCAAAAGGCCCTTTCCATGAGGAATTTCTTTCGGACTTACCTTATTAATAAACCTCTAATCTCTGGTATTAGTTCTGACCATGTTTTTTGTCGACTCCACCCTCTATTAGCTAGAAAGTTATAAGGTAATAAGGTAACAAGTTGACATTATTCACAGAACTTACTGAAATTTTGTAGTTTGCTTGCTTATTGGTCATTCCTACTCCAAAAAGGAAACTTGAAAACTTGATTCTTGTCAGATTCCTTTACCAAAGTGTCCCCAGTACCAATACTTTACAAATACTTATAGAAATAAATTATGTGACCACCTCAATTTTTTTTTTTTGTCAGTTGTGGGGCCTGAACTCTGGGCCTGGGCGCTGTCCCTCAGCTCTTCAGCTCAAGGCTAGCACTCTACCACTTGAGCCACAGGACCTCAGGCATGCAGGGCAAGTGCTCTGCCACTGAGCCACCTTCCCAGCCCCACCTTCAATATATATATTTTTTTTTTGGGGGGGGGGTTCGGTCGTGGCTCAAGGCTAGCACTCTACCACTTGAGCCACAGCGCCACTTCCAGCTTTTTTCTTTTGCTTATGTGGTGCTGAGGAATCGAACCCAGGGCCTCAGGCATGTAAGGCAAGCACTCTACCACTGAGCCACCTTCCCAGACCCCCCCTTCAATATTTTTTTGCCTGTACTGGGGCTTGAACTCAAGGGCCTGGGCTGTCCCTTACCTTTTTCACTCAAGGTTAGTGCTCAACCGTTTGAGCCACTGCTCCACTTTTGGCTTTTTGCTGGTTAACTGGAGATAAGAGTCATGTGGACTTTCCTGCCTGAGCTGGTTTGAACTCTGATCCTCAGATCTCTGCCTCCTGAGCTGCTAGGATTACAGCCACCGGCACCCAGCAACCTTCAATATGTGTAAACCTAATTCCACTTTCCAACTGTTTTTTTTTGGGGGGGAGGGGGTCCGATCATGGGGCCTGAACTCTGGGCCTGGGTGCTGTCCCTCAGCTGTTCAGCTCAAGGCTAGCGCTCTACCACTTGAGCCACAGGACCTCAGGCATGCAGGGCAAGTGCTCTGCCACTGAGCCACCTTCCCAGCCCACTTTCCAACTGTTTTATTTTTGCACTTTCACAATCCTTGTTAACCTGGGTGGGAGTAGGTTCCCTAGGGGAATTCAAGCAGTAGTAAGGTCCCAGCTCTCCAGGCTGCTAGTGGTCCTGAGGCTGAGAGGGGTAACAGCCGGACAGTGGGAAAGAAGCTGATGGGTTGGTTCCCAAGTCTTTTGAGCTGAGAGTGAACAGTGGAAGGACAGGTAATGAGGATTAATGAAATGTTACTGGTGAATCACTTAGGGGTTCTATAAAATGTTGGTGAGGCTGGGGAACAGGGGGCTGGGAAAGCAGGGAGAAGACAGAGAGAGGATGGGCTGGAGGGAGAAGGGGGATCCACTGGGGACAGCAGTTGAGTCTAGCACAGGGTATGAAGAGCTCAGCTGTGACGGGCCCGGGACAAGTGGAGTTGGGGGGGGGGGGGAGGACGGGAAGGGATGGGTAGGGGAAACAAAGGAGGAGGCTATAATGCTTGATAAGAAATGTACTCATTATCTTACCCATGTAATTGTAACCCCTCTGTACAGTGTTTTCACAATAAAAAATTTAAAAAAAGAATCTTTTGTAGGGCTGGTTTGGTGGAGATATATTGTTTCAATTTTTCTTTGCTATGGAAGGTTTTTATTTGGCCTTAAATAGGGATACAGGTGGACCCATTGCAACAATGAGATGTACAAGTCATTATGTGAAAAACGAATTTTACAACTTTGGCGGGGG